AGACAGAGACCGAACAGCAGCAGCAACGCCGACCCTCGAGCCCAAGCAAGCCAGCAGCAAGTCCATCACGTCCATCACGGGCCACGAATGGGCAGTCCCCATCCCCAGTCAGCCCAGGTTCTGCATCTGCGTCCCGGGGTCAGCTGGCCACAGGCTCTGCTAGTGGCTCCCAGATTCCCAGTAAGGCCCGGGGCCGTCGCAGCCGGGGCAGTGTGTCTTCCAGGCCTGCACAGCGGACCCAGCTACCCAGTACATCCTTGGGGCACTCTCAACCGGCCATACGCTCTGGGGGGCCTTCACAGCCAGGGGGCCGGTCCTCAGGACCTACTCGGACAGCAGGCCGATACCCGGGGAACAACCAGCAGACCTCTCAGGCCTCGGCATCTGCCCAGCCAGCTGGCAGGTCGACAGCAGCTGCATCTGCACCCACCTCCACACAGCGCATCAGCGTCTCCAACCAGGGCTCGCCCAGAGCCCAGTCGCCCAGCACACCCCCTGATCCTAACCAGGCTGGCAGCAAGGCCCCCAGCGAGCCAGGGGATGAGGGTTCCAAGAACAACAAGCAGGAGCAGAAGGTGCAGGCCACAGAGGTGGCCGGCAGCAGCTCCGTGCCCAAGACCGAGCCCGAGTCTGAGCGGCTAGCCCCCTGTCACTCTGAGTCCTCTCTGGAGTACTTGTCCGAGTCCACCACGGAGATCACCTGTAAGTGGCCGAGTTACCAGCTGCGCTGCCCAAGACACTGCTGGCTCTTACAGCACCTGGCATACTAGGGCCACGCCTGGACACCTGCCTGCTGGAACCACTGGAGCACCGTGAGAGCCACACCAGACATCTGCCCTGAGAGCCACAGAAGAAAACTGCCCTACAGACCAAAGCCAAACATCTGCCACAGCGCCAAGTGAAACACCCACTTCTGAGCCCCCACATGTTCAACCTGCCCATGAATTCCGTGCGAAACATCTACCACGGGAGCCCCACATGAGCACATAAAAACATCTGTCAGGGTGCACATGAAACACCACCTGGGGTCCCCGTGTGTACCGTCTGTCCTCCGAAGCACGCAATAAAATCACCGGCTCAGGCTCACAAGCGCGTCAGCTATCAGGAATGAACCCCAACGTTCACGTGTGGTTAGGCCCAGGCAGAAAACCCATGTCCTCTCTTCTTCCCTGAGACAGCGTTTTGGTGTGTTGCCCAGGCTGGCTGGGAACATGTCTGACCTCAGCCACTCAAGTTCTGAGGTCACAGCCATGAACCGCCCTTGCGGGAAAAACATTAGTGTTTGCTCCAGATGAGGGGGTAGCCACAGGCAAGAGACATGCAATCAGCCACTCTGGCTGGGAGTAGAGTTTATTGGGGTTACCTACAGAAGTGGGGGGGTCACCCCAGCCAGGGTGACCAGTTCTCTCCCTGTGGTTCAAAAGACCAGAAAGCTTTCTCAGGGTTTTCTGAGATTTTTAATTTTTTTCTGTGTAGCTTTGGAGCCTTCATGGAACTTATTCTTGTAGAACAGGCTGGCCTTGAACTCACAGAGATCCACCTGCCTCTGCCTCAAGTGCTGGAATTAAAGGCTTGGGCCACCACCGCCCAGCAAAGTTTTAAATTTTTGTCTGTGCGTGAGGTGCTGGCTTGGACAGAGGTGCCAGTTGCAGGTGTGAAACCACCAAGGTGCATGCTGGGAACTGAGCTGGGGTTCAGCTCATGTGGCAACATGACTCCTGGCCCTTCTTTTGGTTTCTGAGCCTCCCTCCTCTGGTTTCTCTTCTAGTGCCCCCTCCTTCCTCCCTGTCCTTTCCTCCCTCCCTCAGGCAGGAATGTCTCAGTATGGACAACATAGCCACACACACAGACCAATCATCCCCTTCATAGACTCAGGGCCAAGTCTGTTTCCTCCTCTCTCTCCCCACAGCTCTGGCACACCTGACACTTGTGCCTAGGCAGTGGAGTGCTGGGCTGTGCACATGGGACCAGTGTGGGACAGGCCAGGTCCAGGCGCACCCTGCAGACAGCCAGTGGTACAGACCGAGACAGTTGGGAACTGAATTTTATTTTTCACAGTCCTCAGATGGAATCCAGGGATTCTGAATATTGGACCACTGCTCCATCCCTAACCACGCCCCCAGCCCCTCACTGGGGGTTCTAGGCGGGGATCCACCCTGACCACGCCCCCAGCCCCTCACTGGGGGTTCTAGGCGGGGCTCCACCCTGACCACGCCCCCAGCCCCTCACTCGGGGTTCTAGGCGGGGCTCCACCCTAACCATGCCTCAAACCCCTCATTTTTGCTGGCCTCTCTACCCCTAGCTCTTCAGTTGGGATATTCAGTAGAAATCACGGTGGGATCAGCCATAAACCGTAATGTATTTGCACACAATACTGTCACCAAGTTGTTCCTGGGGCCGACTTTGTCTTGTGTAACCCAATCTCTCCCTTCCAAGGCTCTGCTAGGGAAGTGTGGCTTCTATGCCTCCAACACAATTTCCAGAAAATGGAACATCTTAGAGCAGTCAAGAGTCACCCCCATCTTGGTGCATTTATGGAGGAGGAGGAAGTAAGAAACTTGGGATATTGGGCTCAATGCATTTATTAGTTCAAGATCATCCTCTGCTACATTGGGAATTTGAGACTAGCCTGGGCTACACGAGACTTTCTCAGAAGTATTGGTTTGGGTGTAGGATCACAGGTCTTTAATCCCAGAACTCAGGAGGCACAGGCAGGAGGACCTGGGTCTGAGCCAGCCTGATCTACATACCAGTTCCAGTCCAGCCAGGACTAACTACGTGGTGAGTTCCAGGCTAGCCTACAAGATCTACAAAAAAAAAAAAAGTAATAAAAATAAATTTCAGCAAATCATTGCAGAAGTAAGACCAAGAAGACTGCTGTGTGCCAGGGGTAATAGGAGCTGGTGTCCAAAGGTCCCAGGGCAGAGGTGCAAAGCCCTGGGGCAGGGTGGGGGAGGGGGACAGGGCCTGGCAAGTTTGAGGAGCAGTGAGAATCAAAAGCCCTTGTCCCTGGAGCAGAGGGAGCAGGGGGGGGGGTACCTAGAGTGACTTGGAGATCTTGGCGAGGGCTTGAGCTTCTGCTCTGGATTCTTCCAGGGCAGTCATTAACCCCCCAGCCCCAGGTGATGTGCCCTTGGGCTGCAGCAGCTGGTTTGAAAATGTGATCTGGCTACAGATGTGGCCTGGGTGGGTAGGGGTGTGGGGAGTCCAGCGTGCTCAGAGTTGGGGATGGGGGGGGGCTGCAAAAGGGAACTGGCAATAGCTCCTCCCCTCTGAGGTGGGCCCCACCAACCAGATCAGCCAATGATGAGGCAGTGGGAAGGAGGGGCCTCCTGTCAAGGCCAGAAGCTCGCTTGCTCCTCAACCTGGCCTGTTAATTCTATCCACAGAGGAGCCAGGTATGGGTTAGGACAGGATCAGGGGACACCAGGATCAGCCTCAGCTGCATAATGACTTAGGGTCTAGACTAGGCTAGGTGAGACCTTACTGACTCTTACTGAACTAGGAAGCCATGAGTCTGGCTAAGCCGGCCATCAGCCCCAGGATCCTCTGCACAGCCTTTTCACAGCTGGGGTTTGAACGCAGGTCCTCACACTTGCCAGGCAATCACTCCACAACAATGTCAGGCCCTCCGTCTACTTCTATTTATTATTTATTTTTCAAGATATGGTTTCTCTATAGCTTTAGAGCCTGTCCTAGAACTCGCTCTGCAGACCAGGCTGGCCTCCAACACAGAGATCCACCTGCCTCTGCCTCCTGAGTGCTGAGATTAAAGACGTGCGCCACCACCGCTTGACTGTCTACTTTTTGAGACGGTCTCCTTAAACTTCCCCCTGCCCCGCCCCCGCTGGGATCACAGGCCTGGGCCAGCGAAGGTATCTTCCTGCGGTCTTCATTTTCGTTTACTAATGACTCCCAATGTTTTCAAATTAAAACATCCCCTTTTATTGATTACCACAAAGAGCCAAATTTGAGATGAACGTCGTTTTAGGGGATAGTTCCCTGTCTGTCATTGGAACCAGCAGTCTGGGCAATACTGCAGTACCCAGGGGAACAGCCAGGCCTCACGCTCCTGGCATGCGCCAGTAATACCAGCCACCTATGCCTTTCCTGGGTTTCCCGTGCTGTCATGCGTGCCGGGCTCAGCACCAGGACCCGACTGGAGATGACCCTGCCCTGGACTCTAGAGGTCCCCAAGGCCTACTGGAACTGGCCCATGCAGACCATCTTTCTGCCAGGGAATTCATGGTCCAGCCACCAGGGGGAGCTAGGATCCAACAGATCCCTGTAGACCCCAGCTGCACGCTGTGTGGGATTTGGGAGAGATTCTTGGTGCTCTCTGCCTGGCGCCATAAAAGACTACCACATAACCATTAAACAAAGTGACCCCCTGCTTATCCCATAACAGTACTGCGCCTCCCCAGGACTTGTTGGGTCTCCCGCATACAGTCAGCGCTCAGTAAATGTTCATCGGAGAGCCAAGTGTCCACAGAGAGCTAAAAGATGGGAAAACTGAGGACTTTGGATAGAGGCCAGAGGGGCTCTTGCGGAGGAGCAAGGGTAAAGCTGACAGTCCGCTAACCTCTGGATCCCAGCCAGACCTGGATGGTCACCGAAGACAGGTTAGACCATATGACAGAAACAGGACCCGGAGGGGACGGCCTAAAAGGACACCCCACTAGGGATGGTTTGTTGAGTGGCCGTAGGATAGACACCCATGATGTACAGAAACCTGGAGGGGGGAGGGATTGGAGGTTTATCGATTCTCTTGTGTGTTCCCAGTCTCATATGTCCAGTGCACTGGCAGGGGGTGTCAGGAAAAGATGGGAATGGGTGTGCCTGAGCACAGTGACGGCCACTTTACTGGGGTGTCCCCAAGCCTGTACAGCTGGAAGTGACAGGGAAGGGATTTGTTCCTGTTAAACAAAGTTTAAGTTGTTTAAGTTGTTTAAGTTCTTGTAAAAGTTAAATAGTAATTTTAGAAGGAATGAAGCGGTCCATAAAGTTCTTAGATAGGACGCAGGCAGGCCTTTAATCCTAGCACTGGGGAGGCAGAGGCAGGTGGAACTCTGTGAGTTCGAGGCCGGCCTGGTCTATGCAGCCAAGATTATATACACAGTGAGAACCTGTCTCGAAATAATCCTGGCTGGCGGGAGATTTTCCTGAGTCACTGAGTCAGGGGGACACCTGGTGAGGCTCCGACCTCCGGGAGTTTATACTGGACAGCGCCGGGCAGCCAGGAGAACTCGGCTCTCCTCTGCAGGACTCCAGAGCCGAGCATAGCCAGCGTGGGGCAGCAGTAGCCGGTCCTGTGTACCATCAGGGCTGACCAGTCGCCTGGCAGCCAACAGGTACTCTCGATGGGGAGCCAGTGATGGGCAAGGACAGTGGCCGGGCGCCCACACATACTCTCGAGTGCGCAGCGGAGAGCGGTTTTTGTAGATGAGAAGAATACGCACCTCATAGCGGGTCTCTTGGGCCTGGCGGTGGCGGCCCAGCACGCGTGCCTGAAATACTGCACGAAGGTAACACCGAGGGTCAGGCGGACCCTCAAGACTTTTGGGTCAGCTGAGTGCAATGGAGAGGGTCAGAGCAACTATCTAGGAGAAGTTAAGGGTCCTTGGGGTCAGAAGAAGGAGCCGAAAGGTCAGGGGTCTCACCAAAGTCGCTGCCGCAGAAGTGGAGAAGCCGGTGTGCGCGACCCCGGCTGTCAGGGCAAGGCCCGCAGGGGTCTACGGTGGGGGGGGGGGTGGTGTTGTGAGTGACACAGGCCGGACTTGCTTCCTGCCAGACCCCGCCCCCCCTGTCCCCACCTCACCTGGTGTCAGGGATGCCACCCTGGCAGGAATGGCCTCGGGGACCACAGGGGTCTCCGCAGGTTGAGGCTCCACCTCCCGAGGTTGAGGCTGTCGCAGGGGCCAGCCCAGGGCCTGCGCCTGAGACTGGAAGGGACCATAGCGCTCCCGGGGCAGCCAGAACTCGAAGTGCACTCCTGGGTTGGGCTCCCGCAGCAGCACCTAGAGAGCGGGAGGGCGCGCGGGAGCTGGTGGCTCGCTCTCCCCTCGGACCTCTGCCTCCCCAGTTAACCTACCCCAGTGTCCCGCCTCAAACCGTCCACTCCCGCCCACCTGCAACAACAGCTCCTGGGAGGTGGGTCCGGACGCCTGCAGGGTCTCCTCGGGGCCCACGCCGCGGGTGTAGACCACGCGGGTACCCGCGACCTCGTAGGTGCCAGGTGGGCTGAGCACCCCGTCGCCGTTGATCACGTAGCGGCCGTCGCGTGCCACTAACGCTGCAAGGAACCAGTCAGCCTGCGCTCGCGGAAACTGCCTATCCCCACACCCCAGTTTCCCTCAGTTTCCCCTGATGCTCCACCGTACCCAGGTGGTTGTGGCTGCTCTGGGCCACGCGGATGTGCCTGGCGCCCTCGGGGATCAGAGTCACGTTCCAGTAGCCGGCGAAGGCACCTGGGACAGGCGAGAGGTTGAGGGTGTAATGCGGCAGGATTTTCTGGGATGTTCAGGTGTGCTCAGGGGTGCACAGTAGCGGGTTGCACTGGGACGCACTGGGGTATACAGGGGAGAGATGCTTTGGGGTGCGCAGGGGAGGGATGAGCTGGGCAGCGCAGGAGAGGAATGTTCTAGGGTGCACAGGGAGGGATGAGCTGAGGTGCGCAAGGGAGCGATACGCTGGGGCTCACAGTGAAGAGGTGCACTTTGGGTGAGAGAGTCATGCGAGCAGGGATGGATAGTTGCGGATTAAATGAGAAGCTACGGAGAAGAGGCAGGGAAGGGGTTAAAAGGGCATTTTTTTCGAGAGAGGGTGGGGCGCTTTGACAGAAGCCAATCAGGAGAAGGGCTCGAGGAGCGGGGCCTCCGAATGTCCAATCAACGAGAGCCTTGGCTCCTGGGAGCCCGCCTTGTTAAAGGGACATCTTTCTCAACGATACTCCTCAAGCGCATGCGCTGAGGCGGGACGGGGGTAGTCACCCGCGTCGCGAAACACGCGCTGCACGAAGAGGCACGAGTCGTTGGCGCCACCGCAGAGGCCGCAGCGGTCCTCGACGGCGCCGGAGCCCAGCAGCCCGTCACAGCCGGCGCTCTGCGGGGGCGAGGGCACTGGGTCAGGATGGATGGGGCTGCTGGAAGGGGCGTGATCAAACGAAGCGGGCGTCGCGAGTGGGCGGGGCGAAGGGCGAAGCAGAGGCGGGGCTGAAGAAAGTGCCCGCAGGGACTGAATGTGAGTTAAGCAAAGTGGGTTGGGTCAGGTGGTGGGCGGGGCTTGAATATTAAGGCTGGATCTGAAAGAAGGAAGGACCTAGGCAGAGTCCGGTTAGGAGTGGGTGTGATGGGCTAGGGGGAAAGCCTGTGGGAGGAGCTACGAGCGTGTAACTCGCGGGGTGGGTGGAACCTGGAGCCAAATGGGCGGGGCTTTGAAGGAGCCTGAGCCTGAGGCTTGGGGCCTGGATCTGAGCGATGGGCGGAGTATAGTTTGTAGGGGAAGGAACTGATGTAATTGGCTGGAGGCCGTCTGGGCGGGGTCACACATAAAATAGACGTGGTGGGGCGGGGCCAATGGGTCCTCACCAGACAACGGCCTGCTATGCAGAGGCCCTGGGCCCCCGGGGTGCAAGGGGTGCCATCCAGCACGCGCCCGAAGCTATGGTAGAAGGCATGGCCCTCAGCCAGGCAGTTGAGGTCACACAGGTTGGGTGCTGAGGGCGGGAGGGTTGAGTGAGCCCGGGGCCTCCAACTCATCGCCAGTCCCTACCCGCAGTTCAATGCAGCTTCCCCAGCCCTCACCTCCAGCTTCCTTCCTCCAGGCTCTGTCCCCTTCTATGGCCAACCTCCATCCTCTCCTCTCCAGGCCGTGTACTTTCTTTCTGCCTTTTTTTTTTTTTTTTTTTTGAGACAGGGTCTCTGTACTAGAACTTGTACTAGTCTCTGTACTAGAACTTGCTCTGTAGACCAGGCCAAACTCAGTGATCCACCTGCCTCTGCCTCTCTTGTCCTGGGATTAAGGGCATGCAGGATCACCTCTCGGCCCATAAATTTCCCTACACTGCTTTGTACCGCTTCTCCATACCCCAACCCTCTTCCCTCCTCCTCTTTCAGACCCAATAAAACTGCCTTTAGTAGCCCTGGATTCCGGCTGTACTACCAGCCTGCAGTGTACCTCAGTTTCCCTCTCTGTCATATAAGCCCCTCAGGCTGGCTGGTGGCAGGGGGAGACAAGGCCAACCTAGTCAACGCCTTGGGCGCGGGATAGGGCCCCAAGGGTTGATGAAAGTCTCTCCGTTTTAGGTCGGTGCTATCTCTCTCCAGCACTGCGGTGGCCGAAGCTGCCTGTCTCCCTTCAATCTGGAGGCGTGCTGCCCCGGGCACTTAGTTATATAAGCTGCTATTTTCAGCTCCGTGCGACAACATTTCTTGTTAGTGGGATCAGTCTGAAAACTGTTGGCCTCTGGATAAAACTCTAAACCAATCCACAGCCTGGAGTTCGATCCTGTGTAAAAGGGACCTTTTCTTTCCTCCACCAGCTCCTACATATGCTTCAAAATCCCATCCAGTGCCTGCCTCTCTGAGTATTTCTTAACTCCTTTCAAAGTTCTCTTTTTCTTTTCAACCCCAGGAAGTCAGATTACTCACCCCCGTGGAAGGGCACCCACTGATAGGTCTTCTGGCTGCCCAGGACGGGATGGCCATTGTAGAGAGCACACTGCAGGTCTCGGAAGGGTTTTGCCCCTGGTGGGCAGTCCTGGGAGAGGATATAGACGGGTGGATAAGACCAGTGACACCAAACAGGGTTATTTGGGGTGAGTGTAACAAAGCAAGAGAGATTCAGGGCGGACTCTGGGGTTTACCGGCAGCTGGCACACTCGGTATTCATGGCTGTCTCCCCAGCAAGGTTCCTCCCCGGGAAGTCTGCAAGAAAAGGGTGTTCTGGGTGGAGCAGGACTCCCCCACCCTCTCGGGGACCCCTTCCCATCGCCTGCCCCCACCAGCCCCACCCGCATTCCAGCTGGCTCCGTGGGATTAAAGGGCACACTGCGTGTGTGGGCAGGCAGAGGGCGCGGCCCGGCGGGCGGCAGTGGAGGGAGGGGCTCCCGACTTACCGGACACAAGGGCGGCTGCGCACCGAAACGCCCCGGCCACAAGAGCTGGAACACCTGCTCCAAGACCCCCAGGGCGTCCATTCCCCGGGCCCCTACTTGAGGGCAGAGAGGAGGATCAGCCAGGAGGAGAGCTGGGGTCTGCCGTCCACATTCCTGTGTGCTTCCAGGGCTCCTTCACCCCTTACCTGAGCAGTACCCCTCAAATCACAGCTCAGGAGGGTCCACAGCAAGAGCAGAAGATTCCGGAAGAGGCGGGGTCTGAGGGAGCACAGAAGTCCCAAGAGGCGGTGATCAGCGGGACCAGGGTGGATTGCCATCTCAGCCCTGGCTGGCTGTGTGATCCCCGATGGCAGCTAAACCTCTCTGTGCCCTCTTGTCTCTAAAAAGAAATGAGGTAACAACAGTCCCGCCCCCATTTCCGGAAAGCCTTGAGGGGATTATTGGCTCAGGTCAGGCACTCAGTGGGGACTAGCAACTTTTACATGTTGTTAGTTACTTGTTTTAAAATTAATCTTGTTTTTAGGTGGATGTGACAGCGCACTCCTTTAATCCCAGCAGTTGGGAGGCAGAGGCAGGCAGATCTTTGTGAGTTCCAGGACAGTCAGGACTACACAGAGAAACTGTGTCCTTAAAAACTAAATAACAGAATATATTTTTACTTCTAGTGTGGTGGCCGAAGATGGCAGAAGCATCAACCCCCTTCAAGTTGCGCTGGTTACAGTCATGAGCAGCCTGACAAGGTGCTGGGTACCCAGTGTGGGTTCTCTTAAAGCTCAGGATGAGGTCTTTAACCCTGAACATCTTTCCAACTCTTTGTTTGAGACAGGGTCTCACTGTGTAGTCCAGGCTGGTCTGGGTAGCCTTTAATCCCAGCACTCGGGAGGCAGAGGCAGGTGGATCTCTGTGAGTTCTAGGCCAGCTTGGTCTACAAGAGCGAGTTCCAGGACAATTAGGGCTGTTACACAGACAAACCCTGTCTCGAAAAACCAAAATAAATAATAAAAATAAACAAACAAACAAACAAATAAATAAATACATGGTGTGCCCCACAACTCCTGGCTAGCGTGTTCTGTTCTAGTGCACACAGCTGGTCCCAGTGCCAACGATGCGAGGAATCTTTTAAGGACAGTGTTTAGGTGGTGCGAGTTTCATCTACCTTCCTGGGTGGCCGGGAGCCAACCATTCCCATTCCACAGGCCTCAGTTTCCCTGTCTGTGCAGTGTCCTTGAGTCTCTGAGACCCTGTAGAGGGAGCAGCCAGTAGGGGCTCATTCCTCTCAGCTCTGCCCCTGGGGACCTCTCTGCTCCGGGACACCCTAAGGAGATCCCCTGTGGCGGGCAGAAGAAAGCTGACCTGGCCTCCTTCCAACATCATGGTTTCTTCTGCCAGGAGTGTGGGCTGCGATGCCCAGAGGGTCTGCAGAGAAGGGGAGCGGGCTAGGGCTGAGTAGAGGCCTCAGTTTCCCCATCTACAGGGACTGGATGAAGTCATTCTCAGCCCACGCCCTCCTCGTGATCCGGGCCTGGCAGGACAAATCAGGAGGGACAGGAACCAAGGCCCCGTGAGTCCCTTCTGGGGTCGGGGCCAGCGCTCTGAAGGGCACACAGGAGCTCAAAGTTAGCCCGCACGGTCCATGGACCTGATGAAGGGGAAGGCGGGGGTCCCCCAGCTCGGCTGGAGCCAGGTTCTCCCGGTTTGTCAGCTAGTCTGCAGCTGTCATTCCACCCTTTCGGGCGCCTTGGGGACCGGACCGAGGTGGCTGTAGAAGTTGGAAACCCTGGGGAGTTGCTTCAAGACGCCGCCGGGAGCCATCTCTCTGCCTCTGCGGCCCCAGAGGTTGGGCTGGCCCGGGAAGGGAGAGGCTGGGGAGGGGATTTGGTCATCCCACAACCTCCTCTTGGGGGGCCGCATAGCCACGTCTGTCAGTGCCCTTTCCGGAACAGTACACCCCTCTCCTGCACTGACGGAGCAGTCACTGGGCAAGCCAGTCTTCAGTCTTAGTTCCACCCCAGAGAAAGTGCGACCCCCAAACTTACCGCCATCCTAGGGATCACTGCTTTCCTCCCAAGTAGGGAAAGGAGCCAATTGCATTGTCGCCACACCAGCCGGGGTATTGGCAGGATGAGAAGAGGAATTCACCGGCTGCTCAGATCCCAAGGCAAGGCGTCCAGGCTTCCCTGGGACGCCCCACGGACTGGCGGAAGCAGCGGGGCCCCCGAGGTGCGGGACTGGGAACTCAGTAGGTCCCTCCCACCGGGCCTCCCAGGCGCGCCCAGGCTAGGGTCACCGAGGGCGCAGGCCTGGGGCGCCCTCGTGCGGTAGAAGCCGGCGTTCGGGTTGGGGCTGGAGCTGCGGCAGGGGACTGACCGACAGCCCCGGCGCGTCGTGGTCCAACGTCGGTTCTTGTATCCTGGGTGCCAGTGACCTTGGGAAGTCCAGCTGCGGGGCGGTGCGCGGGGGTTACCGGGTTGCTATTCCTGGCGCCGCACTCAGGGCCGGAGAATGTGCGCGGAGCTGGGGCTTTGAGTGGAATAGTGTGTACCAGGGCAACCTCCCATCCTGAGTACCCGGTCCTGGTCCGCATCACCCCGCAACCAGACTCATCAACCCCGTCCCCATCACACGCTCAACGCAGGCTCCTCGACTCGTCCCAAGCATCCATCCCAGGGACCCCCAACTCGGTCCCCATCACCTGCAATTAGACCTCCCCTCCCTGGTCCCCGTTACCCCCAATTAGACCTCCCCCCGTCCTGAACTCCATCTCCCCTATATAACCAGACTCCGCACCCGAAGCTGGGGAGCATCCCCTCAAGAGGCCCCGCATGCCCGTTGAGGGTGGAAGGACCCTCCCTGTTGCACATTCCCGTGCGCTGCCGTCACCAATGCTCCACCCGGTCCCGCCCTCCAGGCCCGCAGCCAATGCTGCTTCCCTCGCCTGGTTCTGGCCTCTAGTCTTCCGCCTCAGTTTCCCCAGCCAGCTTCTTTTGGATCCTCCAAGGCTTACACCACCCCCAGCTCCTCCATGGCGGCCCCTGGCAGCCGGGTGGGGTGAAGCCTGCAACACTCCTCTGGTCGGTGCTGTGTGGGCTGCGCTGCTCCTGGCCGCTGAACTCGCCTCCTCCAGGAAGCCCACCTGGCTGACCAGGGTCCGGAGCACTTTCCCCTCAGGGCACAGAGCCTGCTGTATACACAGGCTTCAGGGCCCAGCAAGGGCCAGCCATTGGAAACGCCTCAGAGTATAACCACTTAGTGTCATTTTGCAAAGCCACTGTGTGCACAAAACTGAGCTAAGCAGCCAGTCCCAGTGAGGGGAGAAGGCCGCCGGGCCATCACTCCAACTTCTGACGCCATCACCCAGATGAAAAGAGTTAAGGCCTGGCATGGAGTGTTGGGAGGAGCCCCACTGAACAGGGGCCAGAGAGAGGGGTGGCCTAGCTGAGGTCAGCACAAGACTAAGGGTCAGTCCTGAATTCCTGATATGAGAGGAAGGGGCCTCAGTGAAGCAAAGATGAGGACAGTGTTGGGGACGGCCGTTGATGCAGCCGACGCTGAAATTTACAGAGGACATACACAATAGGAAGTATACTCTCCAGGGAGTGCACAGAGTCGGCCCTGAAAGGGAGATGCACATCAGGCATCATGGTCCATGATACATGAAGACAGAAAGCACTATGTCTTGCAGAACATGCATACAGCAGGCCCTGTGCCTGGTATGGCACACACATACAACAGGCATATCCCCTCGCAGGGATAGTATACAGCAGGCACTCTGCTCTGCAGAGTGGCTCTTTCCCCAGAGTCCCTACAACAGTCGCTATACGCGGTAAAGCAGGCGCGCAGCAAAAGCGCCGCGAAAACCGAGCCCCGCAAGGTCATACAGCCGGCACTGATCCCACCAGAGCCTATACAGAAAGTGCCAAGCTCTGCATGCTGTGCACGGAGCAGGCTCTGTGCGACGCCTCGTGCAGTCCCGGATCCGTCCGGTAGAGGGCGCATCAGGGAGCCAGAGCTCCGTTAATTTTGCTGCTGGGGACAGCTCAGCTCCACAGGCCCCACCCAGCTGGGTCCCCATTTCCGAGGCCCTGTCAGGACGGGATGTGGACAGGGGACAGGATTTAGTGCGGCTCTTGGCTATCCGTATGTTCAGGTCACTGAGCTTGCAAACCAAACGCCATCAGCTTGCTTTATGCACTTTAACATTTATCAAGAGGGTACAAGTGGGCGTGGCTGTACAGGAGGATCAGGAGTTTAAGGTCATCCTCAGCTACATAAGATGTTTGAACTAACCTGGGCTACATGAAACTCGGTCTCGGCACAAGACAGGGTTCTGGGGTGGGGCCTTATCTGGCACAGCCACCCCTAAGCGCTTGCAAAACCTGGGAGCGGGGAGACGACATCCCCAACAGAACAGCCAGGAGCGGTTACACACACCTAACATCCAAGAACTGCAGAGGGTCAAAGTCATCGAGTCCCAGGCCAGCCTAGGCTCCAGAGTGAGACGGCCTCAAAACTCATAAAGACGAAAGCTCATGGCGTCCTGTGGGACCAGAACTCTCCTGAGGTCCCTTACCTTACCACCTGGTTCCCAGAATGCTCCCTTCTGCCTCCTGAGTCACTGGGGTCCCATCACCGCGATCCAGACTAGGGCTCTCTGGGGCTCCCAGCTGTGCCATGGCACATGAGGGGGCAGATATATGACCCACACTGTCCAGGTCATCCTGAGCACGGGTGGGATGGGAAAGCTCTGGGCTCCTGTCTTCTTTCTTGGGTGCCCAGTGATGGAGGAAATGTTTTGTTTCTTTTGACTTTTCCTAGTGGCTGCCACTGCGCTCGCGCCTGGTACCTGCTTCATAGTTAATCCAAGAAGTGCAGGGAGCAGGCAGGCAGAGCCAGGGTCTGAGAAATTGGATCCAGCAGGAGCTGAGGTGGGATGCCTAAATTGCTTTCTGTGTTGGCAACATTGTTTCGTGTTTGCTTGTGTGTGTGTGTGTACATTCGTGTGGAGGCTGGAGGTGAACTTCAGGCGTCTTCCTCAATCGCTCTTCCCGTGTCTTTTTCAGACAGGGTCTGTCCCTGGAACTTGCTGATTCACCTAGGCAGCTGGCCAGCAAGACCCGCTGCTCCCGTCTTCACCTCCCCAGCGCTGTGGATCTCATGCAATGTTGTGAGACAGGGTCTCAAGTTGCCCTGGCTGGGCTTGGACTCTCTGTAGTGAAGGATGACCCTGACCCTAAACTACTATGAATCTTCATACCTCCACTTCCACCAGCATGTGCTTCCATACCTGGCTCACTCCTTCCCCATCATCCCCTACACCCCCCTCACCCCCCCACCCCACCCCCATCTATACTGAAACTCAGCTCTTTCCTTGCCATTAGCAAAAAGACCTACACAGACAAAAACAGACCGCTCCAGCAGAAGCCTGGCTAGTTCCAATATCCACACAGCACCCTGCTCAGCGAGGGGAATCGATGTCCCTGCTTAGAGGTCGATGCCACGTCTGGCAGGAGGAAGGATGTGGGGAGGGGCTGGTGCCGCAGGAGTCCCACTTGCTGGTCAGTGGCACCAAGGACACAGGTCCTCTGAGGACACTAACCCTGTCAGCAGGAACATGGATGGCTCAGGCTTTGGGGAGCAGCTCAAGGACAAATCGGACCTTGAAGTTGCACTTGGGGGAAGTCAGCGAGACTTCAGGGCTGGGCAGTGGTGACTCTGGTTCTTAATCCTAGTGCTCGGAAGGCAGAGGCAGGCAGGTCTCTGTGAGTTCCAGGCCAGCCAAGGCTACACAGGGAGCTCCTGTCTCGGGAGAGAGAGAGAGAGAGAGAGAGAGAGAGAGAGAGAGAGAGAGGAGGTGGGAGAGATGACTCGCAGAGTTTCCTGCTTCTGCAGAGGACTCAGTTTAGTCCCCAGTACCCATGTTGGGCAGCTCTGGGGGAGTCTGGTGGAGGGAAGACTGCAGGAAGCTCTGGGGAATCCAGGGGAGCGACCGCAAGCTCGTGCAACCCATACCCAGACATACGCAGAACTAAAATAAAATAAAAATTCAATAACTATAAAATTTAAAAACAAAGAAAACGTCTGAGTAGACATATCAGGAATAGAGAAATTTTTTTCAAATTTTACTTTATTTTTCTTTTATTTTTTTCATTTTATTTTTTACATGCATTGGTCTTTTGCCTGCATTTATGTCTATGTGAGGGTGTGTCAGATTCTGGATCTGGACTAGCAAACAGAGCTGCCTTGAGGTTGCTGGGAACTGAACCCAGGTCCTCTGGAAGAGCAGCCAGTGCGCTTAACCACTGAGCCATCTCTCACATGCTGTAGCATGTGCTGGAGAGCCTCACTCCTGTTTGTGGCTGTATGATATTCCAGTGTGGGTGAGCACAGTGTGTGTCCGGCATCCATCTGTAGGTTCTGGGTCGTCCTGGAAAGATTTGTGGCATGAGTGCTCTGTGCTCTGTGGAAATGCAAGAGTGTGTGCAAAGGCCCTGGGGTAGGATAGGCTGGGTGTGTGTGCAAAGGCCCTGGGGTAAGAGAGGTGTGTGTGTGTGTGTGTGTGCAAAGGCCCTGGGGTAGGACAGGCTGAGTGTGTGTGCAAAGGTCCCAGGGTAGGACAGGCTGGATGTGTGTGCAAAGATCCTGGGGTAGGAGAGGTGTGTGTGTGTGTGTGTGTGTGTGTGCAAAGGCCCCAGGGTAGGACAGGCTGGGTGTGTGTGCAAAGGCTCCCAGATAGGAGAGGTGGGTGTGTGCAAAGACCTTGGGGTAGGAGAGGTGTGTGTGTGTGTGTGCAAAGGCCCTGGGGTAGGAGAGGTGGGTGTGGGGGGACACAGGGGATGACTCAGTCCAACCCTGAGGGTGCCACCGTGTTGAGACTTTCCTGGCGGTTCTGAATTGGATAGGAAACAGTTGACATCCCGGGCAGAGCCGCTGGCCGGAGGGGATGGATTCAGAGGTAGGTCATCCTTCTGGTCCTTTCTTGATGTGAAACAGTTTCCTCAATTTTCAGTTCCCAGTTGGGTTCCAAACTCAGTGGCCCCGAGGGTTGAGTGGCTCTGCCCAGAGCCCTTGCTTCAGGCTCTGCATGAGGGGCTCAGAATGACACTGGGAGGGATATGAGAGGTTCCTATCAGCCCGCCCCCACCGCCACTGCTGAAGTCACCTTCCTGGGCAGTCAGCGCATGGGGTGTCCCTCTAACGCATGCTCATGCTGGGTCACTTTGCCCAGATCCTGGGAGTTTTGGAGTGCTCGGGATACTCGCTTCATTCCTGCCTCCTCCTGCTTGGGACTCCGAATCTCTGGGGACTTTTCGTGAGTGACTGAGAGCTCACGGGTGCAGCCACGTGGAGCCCAGATAGGAACAGCACACCGTTCCTCAGTCATGCGGTTGGGAGGCCTGGGCCACCTCAGGGACCCACACACCAGCCCTGAGAGTCTCTGGGGAGATGCAGTGGCAGGCAGCAGCCACCCCCTCCACCTGCAGCAGGCGTTTTGAACAAAGCTTCCCAAAACTTCTCCAGAGAGATCTGCTGAGTCCGAAGGGTTGTCTCAGGTCAGCAAAAGCACAGAGACAGGAAGGAACCAGGACCGGGCCTGGAGCACGGCAGGCTCAGGGTGGTCAGGCCTAAAATGCGGGCTGTGGGGGTTCGGTGACAATGTCTAATGTAAAGGCGGCCAGTTTATACCATGCGTGATAGTGCGTGTCTGTCACCTAGAACTCAGGAGGGTTGGGAGTTCAAGGCCACCCTGGACTACACGGGCATTTCTCTTCTTAGCGCATGGCTCACTCACAGGTCTGTGCAACTGCCCCTGCCATTCATATCTAGAACTTTCCTGTTGCCATGCAATAGAAACTCCACCACCCACAAACCCACTTCCTGCCTCTGGATCGACCTCTTCTGGGCACTTCCTGTCCTGGAGAGCCACATTGCATCTGGGTCCACCACTGAGACCATGTCCCTAAGAGCCCTCTGTGCTGTGGGTGTCAGCTCAGTGCTGCTCATGGCTGCACGGTACTCCAGCGTGGGAATGGCCCCACCACGTGTCCGTCCCGTCATGCCTTCGTGGACACTGCTGTGACATCTATGTGTCTCTGTCCATTTTTTTTCTTTGAGTTTTTTGTTGTTACTGGTTTTTAATTTTGTGGGTTTTTTTGTTTTTGTTTTTGTTTTTGTTTTTTGAGACAGGGTTCCTCTGTAGCTTCGGTACCTGTCCTGGAATTCGCTCTGTAGACCATGCTGGCCTTGAACTCAGAGATCCCTCTGCCTCTGCCTTCTTAGTGCAGGGATAAAAGGCATGTGCCACCACCACCCAGCTTCTTTGAGTTTTTGAGTCAGGGTCTTAGTTAGCACAAGTTACCTCTTGAACTCACTCTGTAATCAAAGCTAGCTTGGAACTCGCAATCCTCCTGCCTCAACCCCTGAGCAGCTGGAACCACAACCCTCCTAGCCTTGTAATGAGCGTGAAGCACACACCTGTGTCAAAGTTCACATCTTTTTGTGCACCACCGCACAGTGATCCTGGGGTATAATTTCACTTAGACATTTTCCACCACCCCCAAAGGAGACCCCAAACCCATCCTGCAATTCCTCCACCTCCTAATGTTGTCAGAGGCTTTTCAGGAGAACCGAGAGTGTCTTGGACCAGGCTGAGGTTGGGTATCCCTCCTCAGCGGGGCACAGGCTGGCAGGAGGCCACCCAGCTCCCAGGTGCAGACTCAGCTAGAGACACCCCAGGAGCAGCCAGGGGAGCGGGGAGAGAGCCATCAGCAGATCTGCAGGCTCCAGGGCTCCAGGCCAGGGACTCCGTTCCTTCTATCCCAGGAAGTTTATGTTGTTCTGTGGACTCAGCCATCCACCCAAGCGTTTGTCTCTGCTCCCTGGGGCTGGAAACCAGGAGACAAAAATACAGCTGCCAGCTATAGGAGGTCCACCCCACCTGAAAGCCTTGCTGGAAGACCCTGAGCTTGCGGGAGCCTCCTTGTCTGCCACTTGGGGCGTGAATAGCACACAACTTAGGGACCAGATCCCAGCAGGAAAAAAAAAAAACCTGGTAACTCTTGTCTTGCACCCCAAACTGCGTTTTAAATTTTGTTATTTTTCCTGTTTGTCTGAGTGTGGACATGAGCAGTCACAGCACATGTGTGGGGGTCCCAGGAATAGAGCTCTGGTTAGAAGTCTTCCGAGGCAAGTGTTTTTACTTGCTGAGCCATCACAAACTCTGCCCCCAACCCTTTTTTCTTCCTCCATGTGCTTGAACCTTGAACCAACTCTTTGTAGCTTTTAAACGTGGCATCATTTTACAGAGGCTAGGCAGCGCTACCTGGGGCACAAGGTAGGTAGTCCACCAACCGCAAGATGCTTAGCAAATGCAGTAGGTGTTCAGCCCACGATGGACTGAGCCGACCGGGGAGAGGGAACTGGGTGCCTGGCCACCCCCTCCCCACCCCCATCCACACCAGCTTCCTGTTATCTGGGCTTCTGGGCGACCAGGGACCCTCACCCCAGCTGCAAAGGGGACACCAGTAACTTGGATGAGCCTCTTTCCACAAGATACATGGAGCAACTCCTGAATGCTCCCAGGGGGACATTTAGATGTGAGCACTCGAGGGGTGTTTCTTGTCCCCCTTGGTGGCATGAGCCAGGGAGCCAGGCTAGATTCTAAATCCTGGCTCTGGAAAATTCCATAACCTGAATCCAGCCGCTGGGAGTCAAGCTAATCCCTCCCCATTTATTGTGTTATGTAACATTCGGGGATTAATACTAGAGGCAGATGGCAGGGCTCACAGCCTGCCCTGTGCCTGCCTGGCTTTGGGACTGAGGGGACTCCCAACCAGCACACGGTGGCGGGGCCCAGGGACCCACATTCTTGTGGTGCAGAAGTCGCTGCTTGCAGCCTGAGGGGGGTGTTGGAGGGGAGGGTTGGCTCAGGTGCCGGGTTGTCTGAGGTTCTGAAGAGTCCACAGGCTAGCTTGGTATCTATCAGCCGCATCTAAGCCTCCACCTCCATCTCACTCGGCTATCACAGCCAGTGCCCACCTTCTGCCCCTCATCCTGGTTGCCACGTCTTCCGTGGCACCCCACCCCCACGGCACTCCATTTGTGCCGGTAGCCTTCCAGACCTTTGTCTTTGGTCCCTATGTCACCAAACCTCTCTAGGTTGCCCTCCCTCTGAATCCTGCTGTGACTTTCCAGTGCCCAAGTTGATGAAGTCCCACAGGTCGCTCTCTCTTGTAGGGAGGACCCAGCCAGATGCACTTGCTCCACTAGCCTCAAGTCTTCCATACACCCCAGACAGACTCCTGGGGCGGGCTTCTCTGCAAATAAACCAGCCGACTCCACTGGGCCTCAGTTTCACCGATGGGTGAACCGAGTGCGGTCAACAGGTCCTAGGAGGCGTAGGGATGGGAGCGCGGTAGAACTAAGCCTGGCTCCGGGTTTGCTCCAGAGCACCTGCTGGTGCTGGCAGGATCCCATGGGCGTCCGGGCCCCGCCCCGCCCCGCCCCGCCCCCACTCTCCAATAAGACCCGCTCCAGCGGCTCGCGGGCCCAGAGCAGCAGTGTTGCCGGCAGCAGTGGGTTGCGCAGTCCCCGCGCCCGCTGTGCGCCCAGGCCCAACCCAACAGATGGAGCCCCGGTCACAGCGGCGGCGGCGGAGCCGCCAGCTGGTGGCCGCCTTCCTGCGCGACCCGGGCTCGGGGCGCGTGTACCGGCGCGGGAAACTGATTGGCAAGGTGGGGGTTTCCGCGCGCGCTTACACACACCCGAGTTCAAAACGCGGGAAGGGGGAGAGCTGGAAGGGTCGAGAGCTGGGCGGGAATGCACGCGCGATGATTGGCACCTCCGGTCCCCTGAGTTTGGGGTCTGGGCTGCAGGGCGGATGGCGAGGTGGGAACCGCACTTGGCGTGCTGTCTACGGGCGTGTGCGGGGCGTGTATGCGCCCGCGTTAGCCGGGCACTGAGTATCCCATGGGTGCACAACTAGTGCTCCACACGCAATGGCGAGGCTGTCACTCACGCCCCCCGCCCCCCCCCAGCGGTGGGTGCTGAGCAGCGCGTGGGGTCCGTGCCCTGCACCCACTTGCCTACCTGGCTATGGCTGGGGATTGCTCCCTTGGTGGCCGAGGACGCTGGAGGGTGTTGAGCTCTGAGTCTGGGTGTTGTGTCGTGTGTCCAGGGGGTTATTAGGGTGTGCCTGGGTGCTGTGTTTTGTGTCTACGTTCTGTGTTTGAAGGCCTTCATGTGTTAAAGGATGTAGCGTGTGTCTGGGTGAAGCTTGTGGTATGTCTGGGTGTTGTTTTGTATATCTGTACTGGATCACGTGTTGTCATGAGTTTGTTTCTGAGTGTTGTGTGTGTGAGTATTTAGAGTCTGGGTGTTGTGTGTCCAGATAGTTTGTCTATGTGTGTGTTGTGCGTGCGTGTGTCTGGCTGTTGTCAGTCTGGGTGCTGTGTGTGTAGTTGTGTGTGGATGTGCTGTGGGGGTGTCTGATTGGCTGTGTGTAGGCGGTTTGTATATGGGTGCTGTGTGTGGATGATGCCAAGTGGGGGAATGCTGTTTGTAGGTGTGTGTGAAGTTCTGTTTGTGGATGTGTGTCAATGCGGTAAGAGGGCGCTGTGTTTGTAGGTGGAAGTACTGTGTGTGGATGCTGTGTGTGTGTGTGGATGCTGGGGGGGGGTGCTGTGTGTGTGGATGCTGTGTGTGTGTATGGTGTGTGTGTGTATGGTGTGTGTGTGTGTATGGTGTGTGTGGGGGGTGCTTTTGTGTGTGGATGCTGTGTGTGTGTGGATGGTGTGTGTGTGTGGATGCTGTGTGTGTGTGACTGCTGTGTGTGTGGATGGTGTGTGTGTGTGTGTGTAGGCTGTGTGTGTGTGTGGATGCTGT